ATATGTTTCTGGATACAATATTGTTACAATCTCTTTTTAATGACTGAATCAAGAGCCAATAATTGATTATGCATATAGCAAAACATATAACAAAAAAAAATGACAATTTCCTTAGTTACAAATCTTTATCTTAATGCATCACGCAGGCCTTCCAGAATCATGTCGATTAGTGTCCACGACTGGATCCCTACTTCAATGGAAATACTTCCAAAACAGCATTAACAATATTTGTCATGGGGATCCTAAGGGTGTAAATCTCAGTGTTTTGAGTTGTTGCTAAAGGATTTTCCACATTCATGTCACTTTATATAAAACGAATTTTATGAAATGGTATTAAGTGTGAATTCCGTTGAAGGCTTCCCTAAATTGAGAGCATTTGTAGAGCTTTAATGAGTGTGAATTCTCTGGTGTCTAATGTGATGTGACTTCTGGCTGAAAGCTTTCCCACATTCACTACACTGATAAGGCTTTTCTCCAGTATGAATTCTCATATGTAGAGCAAGAGTTGAGAACTGAGAGAAAGCTTTCCCACATTCGTTACAACCATACGGCTTCTCACCCGTATGGCTTCTCATATGCACAGTAAGAGAAGAGCTTTGACAGAAGGCTTTCCCGCATATTTTACATTCATAAGGTTTATCACCTGTATGAATTCTCACATGTACGATAAGCGATGTGATTCGAGAAAAGGCTTTTCCGCATTTATTACATTCATAGGGTTTCTCTCCTGTATGAATATTGTGATGTTTAATGAGGTATTGTTTCTGCCTAAAGATTGTTCCACATTCATTACATTTATAGGGTTTCTCTCCAATATGAATTTTCTCATGCTCAGTGAGATTTGACTTGCCACTAAAGGCTTTTCCACATTCCTTACATATATAGGGTTTCTCTCCTGTATGACTTCTCTGATGTCTAATGAGGCTTGATTTCTGAATAAAAGCTTTCCCACACCCTTTACACTCATAAGGTTTCTCTCCAGTATGTATTCTTTGATGGATAATAAGGTTTTCCTTCTGGCTAAAGGCTTTTCCACACTCATTACATTTAAAGGGTTTCTTTCCGCTATGAATATTCTGATGTTTAATGAGGTATTGCTTCTGGCTGAAGGCTCTTCCGCATTGATTACATTCAAACGGTTTCTCTCCTGTATGAATCTTCTTATGCTCAGTGAGATATGATTTGCCATTGAAGCCTTTCCCACATTCTTTACATACGTACGGTTTGTTTCCAGTGTGACTTCTCTGGTGTTTTATAAGGCATGGCATCTGAATAGAAGCTCTCCCACATTCATACGGTTTTTCTTCAGGATGATGTTTTTGATGAGAAAGGAAGTTTCCCTTCTGGCTGAAGGCTTTTCCACACTTACTACATTTATATGGTTTATTTCCTGTATGACTTCTCAAATGTAGAGTAAGGGATGAGACTCGAGAGAATACTTTACCACATTCAGTACATTCATGTGATTTCTCTCCAGGATGCATTTGCTTATGCTCTATGAGGTTTTGCTTCAGGCTAAAGGTTTTTCCACATTCGTTACATTCATCACATTTCTCTCTAGTACCAATTTGATCATGCTGAAGGAGATCTGACTCAGTCTGAAGGCTTTCCAACATTCTTATCAAGCAGGTATTTTCCCCAATAAGACTTCTTGAGTATCTCTTAACATGTGACATAAATAAAAGCCTTTCCACATTCACTAAATTTACATAGTTTCTCTCCACTATCAATTCTCAGGTATCTAATGAAGTTAAATTTGATGAAAATTTTTCACATAGATTATCCTGAGATGAGATGATTACAAAACATGATGAAATACAGCATTCTCATTATACTCTTAATGGTTCTTTCTTAGCTTCTCTCATATTTAAGTATAAACTATTTTCCAAACTGTTAAATTAAGTCTCATACGTATAGGTGTAGTCTTAAAAATCAGTGTCTGTGATCAGAGGAAATGCTTTTCTGTTTCCTAGGTTTTCTGAGTTTTTCTTTAGCTGTATTTTCATGGAGAAGGATGAGACTTAATTCACAAGTCTTTCAAGTTGTGTCTTTATAAATTTCCCAGGCCTCTTCTAAAAAGAATATAAATAAATCATCATTGAAGAGTTAATAACTAAAATATTTAGTACCTCGCATGCAGTAAACATCCAATAAAGTAGCTAACGTTATCATCATCACTAATACTTGTGAATTTTTCCACTATTAATAAAAATTCAAAGATACTCTATTATAAAATAAACTGTATTTCAAACCTACTCTGCTAGTATAAAACAAAGCTCAGATGCAAATAACATTCACGGGTGCATGTAGTTTTAATTGCTTTTAAATGTAAGCTTGCACATTTATAAATTAGTAGAATAAAAGAAAACAAAGAGCAGGTGACAGGATGAAAGGACAAACATAAAATTGGGAGAGCCTAGGATGAAGGGATAAAAAAATAAAATGAAAACAAGTATTATTAAAGAGGATGTTAAAGAGCATGTGTGGTTAATTAAGATACAGCCTTGCACTGAATGATGACATTTTGGTCAGTGATGGACCACACATAGGATGATGGTCCCACAAGGTTATGTATATAACGTAGGTTTGTAGTATCTAGATGGTAGGCTATACCATCTAGGTTTGTGTAAGTACATTCTATGGTCTTCACACAGTGATGAAGTTGCCTGACACATTTCTCACAATGTATCCCCATCATCAAGCAGCGCATGACTGTATTTATTTCTACATCTTCCTTCTACTTCATTAAAATGGAAGTAAGAGGGTGAAGGGGAGCACATACTCATAAAAACTAAAAGGTCGGAGAGACATCAGTAGATGAAAAGTATCAAGAAATTTTGAAAGGAAAGCAAATAAAGGGCTATAAATTAACAGCAGAACTCAGTGGCTTAAATAAAAATCCAGCAGATAAGGATAAAACCTAAAAGCAAGGTAATCTGTGACACAGCTATCAACAGATAAGCTCTGTAACTGCAGAAACTGAGATGAGGCATAAATAAAATTATTTTAAAAAGCAGCTGATGTGCCCAACTCTCATAGCTGGAAGGAAACAGGAATTTATTATCCAGATAAAAGAGAGTGTAGAGTCTCCAATTTTAGTAATGACAGGCAAAATAGATGAGAGTACCATACTGAGAAGAGGATGAGTAAAAGTTTATATATAGAATAAGGTCCCAAACCCTTTCTACCATTGGACTCCAGAAATGCTGATGGTTGCCAGGTGTCAAATAACTGAAAGGTTCTTTTCTGAAAATATGAGAAGACTTTGAGAACGCCTATATACGTTGACATTTGGAGTCATCTTCAAACTCAATTATAAAAAGATAAATAATCTAGTTTTTAAATTCGGCAAAAAACTAGAACAGACATTTCACAAAATAAGATATAGGAATGGCCAGGAAGCATATTAAATGAAGTTCATCTGAATTAGTAATTAGGAAAATGCATATTAAAACCTCAATAAGATATACCCATTAAAATGGCTAGTTAAAAGGACTGCCAATCCAAGTGTGATAGCCTGAAGCAACTGTAATTCTCATATATTATTGGAGGACATGAAAAATGGTAGTCGCCTTGGAAAACAATTTGAAAAAGTTAAATATACATTTGCTATTCTACCCAGCAATCTCACTCCTAGGCATTTATTCAAGAAAAATGAATATATATGTTCACACATAAACTAGTATTTGAATGTTCATAATAACATCATTTGTAATAGCCAAAAAAATGTCTATCAACTGGTGAATAGACAAATTATGTCCATGTTGTGTACTAATCAGCAATAAAAAGGAATAAAATATTAATATGTTCAACATGAATTAATCTCAAAATGTAAAACTAAGTCAATGAAATTAAATGCAAAAAATGATGTACTATATGGCTACATTTATATGAAATTCTAGAAAAGGCAAAGCTATAGTGACATAAAGCAGATTAGAGTCACGAGGGTATGCAAGGGGGACTGGTTCCAAGACCATCCCTCGCTCCACCCCTACCCTCATAGATACCAAAATCCATGGAAGCTCAAGTCCCTTATATAAAATGACATAGTATTTGCATATAACCTATGCACATTCTCCCAACTATTTTATTTCTTTATTTATTTTATTTGTTTTCAGGATTAGGGTTAGATTTAGGGTTAGGGTTAGGGTTAGAATTAGGGTTAGGATTTAGGGTTAGGTTTAGGCTTACTCTCCCATGCACCTTAAACCATTTCTAGATTACTTATCATACCTAATACAATGTGAATGGTACGTAAGTAGATGCTGTACTGAGTTGTTTAGGGGATAATGACAAGGAAAAAGTCTGTACGTGCTCGATACAGATGCAACCATCATAAGCCTAACTACAGATATACCTCGAACATACTGCAAGTTTGGTTCCAGACCAACACGATAAAGTGAATATCACAATGAAGTGAGTCACACAACTTGTTTGGTTTCTCACTGCATGTAAAAGTTATATTCAAACTACACTGTAGTTACTAGGTGTGCAAAGCATTATGTGTAAACAAGAGTACATAAGTTAAAAAATACCGTATTGTTAAAAAATGCTAACTATTATCCGAACCTGTTGGAAAAATAACGCTGATAAACTTGCTCAGTGCAGAGTTGCCACAAACCTCCAATTTGTAAAAAAATGCAGTATTGACAAAGTGTGATAAAGTGAAGCAAAATAAAATGAGGTGTGCCTGTACATCGTATAAATCAGCAGCAATGTAACTTTTTTCCCCAAATATTTTCAATCCAAGGTTGGTTGAATCCTTGGATGTGGAAACTAGATATGAAGGGCTGACTGTATACAATTACCAAAATGTATCAAATAATATCCTTAAAGAGGGTGTAAATTAACCTCAAAAAAGCTGAAAAAGTAAATCTTTCCACATTGAAGCTCTACAACAATTACAAATTATTAAATAATTATCTTGTTTGTGCTGAAGACTGTAGGCAAAAAGGGAAAGACACCGGCCTTTCCATCAGAGAGCTCAGATGTATGTCTTAGACATCAAAGTGAAAAATACAAAGATAAGAGTGTATAAACTTAGGATCCAAGTTGCTTGTGAGCTACAATATGGGATGGAAGTACAGAGATTGGAAGGCCGGGAGTTACAGACATTTTAATAAAAATGAAGTTCAAGGTTAAACAATGGATGGGACTTTGATGGATGGATCACTGTACAAACTATGGCAAAGATGCAAAAAATTTCATATATACGAAGGGAAAGGTAAGAAGGGTACAACCAATCCTATTTTAAACTGAAATAATAATAATCATAGTCACCAAGTATGTGGTGAGAGAGGGAGATCGAAAATATATTCATGTATAAAATATACATCACCCCTGGTGGAGAGTAAATAGATATTGTTTAAAGAAATCAGGGACAGAGACTAAGAAAGTTATGAATGTAAAGGCAACCAAGAGAAAGGGAAAAACACCAACTTTCCAAATTTTCAGAAGAAAGGACATATTCTAAAAACAAAGAAATTAAGATTCTACAGTGATAGATAAAAAAGATGAGGTGAAAGTTAAAACAAAATGTGTAATATTAAATAAGAGAACCGATTCCAACCATATTGTTCCTGTTAATAAATGCAGGTAGCGGGGAGGGGCAAGGTAGACGGGGGAAAATATTAAATCATTTCTTCCATTAAAAGTTAATTAAAGAAACAAACAAAATATTTCTAGCTAAAGTCTAACACTTACATAGTAAAACCCACCTAAACTATACATATACATATATACACACATATACACACATATATGTATCTAAAACAATATGTATCAGAAATGCTGAAAATATAGAATAAAAATAAAGATAATCATGAGTATATAAACTATAGAAAACCAAGATACAAAAACACATTAGTAATGGAGAAAACTACCTCTCTCAAGCTGTGAGATAAAATCCATAAAATGTGTATGAAAAATAGGAAAATAAAAATATATACTAGCCTATAACAGCTAATCAGTTTATTCTGTATTTTGAAAATAGATAGTAAACCATCTTTTTAAATGCTCAAAGAACATTCTCAAAATCCACCCATATAATAAATAGTCCTATAAAACCTCAAATATTCCACAAAGTAGAAGAGAGACAAACAAAATACTATGACAAAAAAAAAAATTAGGAAAATAAATATCTTTCATTTGTAAATTTCAAAATGTATTGGCTTGAACAAACTCACTGAATAACTGTAATAAGTCTAGCCCATGCATACATGCTAGTTTCTTAATTACTCACCTGAAGAGCACCTTCTTTACATTTTTTCCTCAATCATCCATTGCTCTTCTTTGAACTGGCAGCCTTAAACTTCTAAATAGTGGCAAGGGACTTGGAAGTTACTGTTGAGGATCAAAGCAACATTCCAGAATTCAGGCTGAGCCTTTAGGACTGGCAGAAGTTTTAACGGATAAGGAAAGGGCGGCTCCTAGGGATGCGCAAGGAAGTTGGCCTGTGAAACAGAATAAAGTTAATGATGACACTTTGATTTAGAAGCTGAAGTATGTGCATCCACGTGAGCGCACGGAAGAGTATTTGTACTTTGCACCTCAGGCCAAATCCACCATTGTGGGGAGTCAGTTATGGACATGTGAAATCGTGTAACAAGGAACAAGGATATTTGTGTACTTGGCAACAATGTAAGAAGTTGATATTTGTGTACTTGGCAACAATGTAAAGCGCTGGGAAAAACCGGGAGGTAATTGTTCACATAGCAATCACTGCAAATTCCTTGCTACAGTTTAGCAGAGACTTCTGAGTTGTGAGAATCTCAATACTCTAGTATTGTTCTACTAGATAAGTAATCTGGCTAACCTTGGCTCTTGACTACTGTCTTTCTTATTGTAATGCTATAAATGGTGTGTTCTAAATAAACTCGGGGACACAGCTTGAATCTGTGATCCCTCCTGCAATTCTGTCTGTCTTCTTTCTTTTCCTCAGTCCAGGCTCCCCCTTTCAGGTACCCTCAATTACTTCAACGGCTGGCTCCGACACATCATACAATTTAAATGCACACATTTCAGCAATGGGAAACATTGCTCTTCAGAATTTAGGTTATACAGACAAACTATGTGACTAAGTTGCCAGAGTTCTCCAGAATCAGAACTCATGCGAGTCCTTTTGCGCAGGTGTTACTTGTGGCCTTGCTCTTGATTGAACAGTCACTTTTGAATATAATCTCCTCCCATAACAACACTTTTTTCATAAATTTAAAGTCACCAACCCTGAGTGATATGGATAAAATGTAAAGGAAGTTATTCCAGTATTATTCAAGGCTCAGAGTTCTTTAAATTTTTAGAAGCCTAATATTTTACCTAGGTTATGAAGCTCTAGGAGAAATGAAATATTTTAAGTGTCCTGTAATGACATGGTCATTCATGGACTTAGCAAGCACATCTCTTTATCATTCATTAAATGTAATGATGAGACCATGGTCTCCAATTTTTAATGGGGCGTGACAAAGGATCAGAGTTACTCAGAAGCTCTTCCATTACTCAGATATAAGAGGCTTAGAATCTGGCCGGACAGTATTATGAATTGATGAAACAGGTAATACAGAAGAGGCAATGAATGGAGGCAAACTGCAGGAAGATGGTATCAGAATGACATTTTGAACAGAAACAGTTTGAAGTTCCTGTGCAACCTCCAGGTGGATCTGTCCATTAGACAGTCAGATAGGTGGATGAGGAGCTCAGGACAAGCCTCAAATAGGAATGGACACTGGTTATTCTTTTGTGTCAACTGAACCCACAGTAGAATGCTGTTACTTTTAGAGTTCTTAGAGGTGAAAAAAGACGATCGAAGTCAGAAACTTACTAATACTAAAAGCTGGAGGACAAAGAGAAATATGTCACAAAGGAGTTGTGTGTACGTGGGCGGGGGCTGGCTCTTTGGTTTTGACTGGAATTATAAAAATGAGTAGTATCAGGGAAGTCAAGGAAACATTCAAAAATGAGGCAGTGATAAACATGTGAAAAGCAATGAAGCAGACACAGAAATCTAATTCCTCCACCCCAGTTAAAAAATGAAAATGTACAAAACAGGCAAGCAAAAAATGTGATTCTCACCCCTGCCCTAGCTGCTGCATCCTCTGTCCCCTGACAACTGTTTCTGTGTAAATTTCAAGTTTCTCCATGGAACTACAAATATACATTCTTATCTCCATTTACTCAAAATACCCGTATATTACACCAAACATTGTGTACCTTGCTTTCTTCAGGTAACGAAATACCTTGCAGACTTTTAAAATCTATCTAAAAGATGATACATACTTCCGTTTGCTAAAGTCTTCTTTTGGGTCTTTCATTAACATTTAAAAACAATCTTAATATAGCTTTTACACATTTCTTTATCCCTAGGTGTTTTATCTGATTTGCTGCTACAAGTACCATCTTCTCTATAACTATTACTGATTATTTTTTATATATCAAAGCTATTATTTTTGTATATAAATTTTTGTACTGCGGTACGTTTTTCATTTTATTGAAAAATATGTTGTGTGATAAAATGCTGGAAGTAAGTGTCTGTAGATAGAAGAAAATTTGTTAAACTATATTTACAAAGGCCATTTGGTTTGGGGGAAACCTGGTCAAATCGGGAGTCACGCTCATTTACAAACTAGACAGTTTTCAATTGCTTACCTGATCTCGCTGCACCAAAGACAGGACAACTTGCTTCTCAATTATGTTGTCCTGTAGTAGTGTAAATTACCTCTTAAAGCTACTCCTTGGTCCGGGGCTTCTGAAAACAGCCTCACCCAAGTTCCTCCAAAGACTTAATTAAAGTCAATCCCTACGGGGCCCCCAATAAAAAGTTTTTTGGAAATCCCCCCCCCCAAATTACTGATTTTATTTTCTATACGACTCCGCTTTTACGTAAAAATCGCTTTAAAAATTATCGCTCAATTGCTTAGCGGTTTTCCTTTGGCTTTCAGAGAAATGAATGTTCCAGGAAGGTGCATACGTATCATCGTTATTTCAGAAACGAGAAAGGTGAGGTTTAGAAGTTGCTGCCCCACAGTGCTCACAACGCCATCCATCCTCACAACGCCATCCATCCTCACAACCTTGGAACCACGCGGTTTTTCGCGCAGGCTGTTCAGTCTACCACCCTGTCACCCCCCCTTTACACTCTGGGTCCCCCAGCCGCGACCCACTCCGGTTTCTTCGTGTAACCCTGCCCCTCCACAGCGGCTTCGAATCCCGCACGTCACCGGCGATTCCTCCCCCGCCGCTTCCCGGATCCGGTACTGAGCCCAGAAACCCGGGCCCCAAGGCCGGACCCGCGCCCGGAGGAGCCGACCCCACACTCACCAGCAAACAAAGACCGCGATGGCGAGCAGCACCGTGTGCGCCTGCGCACTGATCGGGCCGGGGTGCCCTCCCGGGGCTGGGGCGCACTTCTGGGGCCCCCACGCCGGAGATCGGGACCGGAGGGAGTCAGCTGGCACTGTTCAGACGGTGGACCGCGAGGCCCAGCAGTTCGGTGGCCGGGTCGGCTTTCCGCGCGCT